AGCAGCACTTTGTTCCTCTATACAGTTAGCTTCTCTGGTAGCTGGTTGAGAGTTTGTTCTAATCGTCCCCTGTGTTGCTGTCACACTTGCTGATTCTTTATCATCAGCAAAATGCAGGACAGAGTTAAGGAAGCTGGAAAGGTTTTTGGAACCAACAGATGAATGCATCAGGGAGGGATTAATCGTACTTAGTGCTGAGGTCTGCTGGATTTCTTTCCACCTTTTGGCACACTGGAAAATATTTATAAAAATAAGATAACTACACATCCACTTCTCATTTATCAGTGTGTATTCAAAAATTATTGTTGATATATGATCCAAAAATAACCTGCATTGACACAGACATCACTTATCAAAATGCCCTGACGTTTCCCTGACTTTTGATTTGTACTGGTAAAAATACAATTTCCCTCAAATAAATGCAAAATGTCAGATCTAGTAGTGGCTTCTGGAATGAACTTATAGCTGTCCTTTCAACTCATTCAATAGGACTGGTAAGTTTTCAATAAATTCTCCTTCTTCATAAAGTAAAAATATCTTTAGTTAGTGATCACAGTGACTCCAAATGTTTCTTCTAGCGTTCAATGGTATTAAATCAGCCATATTAAATTATTTCAATTTTCCCTGACTTTTCTTCAAAATGTCAATTTTCCCTGACTCAAAACAAAATTCTCTGACTTTTCTCTGAACTTGAATAATTTTTTTTCCCAAACCATTCCTGACCTGTGGCAACCCTGGCATTGATGTAAGCTCGTCTAATGTCATAGCACTATCTTCAAAAAGTCTGCAGGGTGTTTAGTAGCAGAGCATCTCTGCATACAGATACATATTTATTTTTAACAAAGCCACATTTAGCCTATTACAACAACAGTCACCTTTTATGAAGAATGTATAAGCTTACGTATGAGGGAATGTTTTTAGAATGATATGCAGAACACAAAGTAAGATAATGTGGTATTTTGTCAGTGATTGCAATCTATTTGATTAGATCTTGGATAAAATTAAAATATCAAACCTGCTGTGGCGTGCTTCCTGGAATTAACTTCGCTACTCCTTCCCAGTTTTTGCTCTCTGACTCCCTGAACTCCGAAGAATTCATCAAAGTTCTCAGCATTAAATCCACTGCCAAATTTTGGGACATCATTAATGTTTGTTTTTGGCTGCAGGGAGTTAAAACTTGAACAACTTTCAGTGCATGTTGATCTTATCCCCTTAAGCTTCTCCCATCAAAGAAGAACATGATATCAGAGAGAACGACATAATCTGGACCAAAAGTAGCATAACGAAAAGTGGAAAATTGTTTTCAATGGTTGCGAAGTCTAAAAGTCACCGACGGACGCCATGTTGTATCCAAGCAGCTTTTTAGCCTCCAACCCTCCTCGGTCAGATATCCCTCGAAGACCAACACTTCGCGCGCTACTTCGCGCGCGTAAATTCGACTCGCACGTTGAACGCGAGTTAGCTGTTATCCATTTTACTCTGTTTATTATTTGGCCAAGAAAGGTTTCGAAAAGAAAGAACATAAATCAAATATTTTCATTTTCCCTGAGTTATGGTTGCAAAACTTAGAAAGGATTTTGCCCATCCCTGAAATTTTCATTAGCGTAAAATTTGATACTTTCTGAGCTAAAAGTCAACCAAAAACAAGCTATACCTTGAGTAAACCGACATTGTAAAGAATGTGAGTTTGCTCAAAGGTCAAGAAAAGTTAGCCCAAGTCTTTTGGACTATAATAATAATAAAAAATACTAAAAGACTACAAACTGACTACAAACATCCACCAAGCCAATCGGATTACAGCATTTAATTCATATTGATTGCTCGGGGTAAAGCTATTGGCGACTATGGTACAAGCTGTGATGAAAGGGTAACATTTTTTTAAGAAAAGTAGTGGCTGATGTATACATGTAAAGATTTAATTAAGCAAAAGAGCAACGTGGAGAACAGCTTAAGACAGAAGTGCTCTGTAAAGAAAGTTTGATTTTTTCTCCTCTATGAGTAAATATTTAAAATTCAAGTCAAAATTTTTTAGTTTATTGAAGAGCTTGCAATTAACGAGTGAACCGCCCATTACGTTTTGTGTTCAAACAAAGTAATTAACACTTTAACATCCATTCGACCCGATTCGAAAAAGTGCTATGCTGTTGTCCTATATCCTTTATGATCAACTTGCCTTTTTCTTTAAAGAATATTACAGGCATAACCGTGTTACTGCGCGTATTTGGTAGCACTTTCAACTTTCAGTTACGCGCTACGTGTGTGTTCGTTACGTCAATACGCGTGGTGAATCGTGTGCCGCAAACGTGATCGCGTAGTACCTCGTTATTATTGCCGTCAGAAGAGGTGTCACTTTTATGCAAAACTACTGAGTTGTAGTAAGTACCGACAATAATTGAACTCTCACAATAGATGCATTTTATATGCAATTACAACGCTACCTATAAAATAATCATTTCTGCAAATGAACCTTTTCTTTTACTCATTTCAAACTTGAATGGATTGCAGATGCTCCAAATTTGCCATCATCGTTAAAAAAAGTTTTCTAATTAGTAAGTCCAAGAAGTCAGAAGTACCAATGTTGTCAGTAGTGAACGTAAAACTATATGCCCCCGACTTGTAAACCTCGAACTTTAGATTAAAATTTGATATATTTTCCTCAGGCTACGATCTTTTCGTTATTGAAAAATCAACCTGTTATTAATAATGAATGCATTTGGTGTTTTAATATTTCTTTTACTGATTTATACTGGAAATTAAAATAAGTTTTTACTGCCAGAAGACGTTGTGAAGCTGTCTATATTTGGTATTAATATTTGTGGGACGTCCAAGAGAAAACTGGTCTGGGTTCGATGAGAAAAAAGCGCATCTTACGAGTTCTCATGGAACACAGATCACCCCACACTAAATAACAGCAAATTATTTTTAGCCATTCAGTTCCACTTCGCTCCTTTCTCGTAAAAAGTAATTTACAGAACAAAGGAGTTAATGCAAATTGATGGGAAAATATACAGGTGGCTTTGCTTCATTTATAACATCACTAAAATCACCTTTTGTGTTAAATGTTTTACCCACGCAATTGGCACGTTTTAAATTTAGAAAACTTCCAGTTGTCAGGAACAGATTCACTTGGTCTTGTTGCAGTGAAGCGGACCAAACATGAAAGGTGAGCCAGGTTTCAACTGTTTTTCCAGTTGGATAAAAACCGGAGATAGAAACGTCAATTTAATCCTTTTTCGACAAGCAAAGTTCAGAAAGGCACAATCGTGAAATGCGTTTTTAAATATTGTTTACTGGTCAATTCCGCCAGAGTTAACGAACTTTACATGGTCTTCCACAGCTTTCAACTAACCGCACTGTTTTGTTGGTTTTAAGACCAATATTTTCAAATATAGGGTAGTGTGTTCCCAAATGTTTAAATTATTACTTTATATATAGTTTTTTTTTTTTTCTAAATCTACCGCTACCTTGAATTGAAGCTAAATAATTTAAGTAGGTGATTGGCAAATTTAGAATTTGTGCCCCTTCATCTACGAAATCGTTAGGTAACTTTACCTTACAGAAACGCTGGTAGATTTTAAGTGTGGTTTTCGGTTTGCCGTATGAAAACAAATTGTACTTGCTGGATTAAACCTTTGGATTAACTTTCTTCTTCACTTAGGAAATGTAAATCTAGGACATAGTAAAAAATTGCTTCTTAAGTTTTAATTAGAGTGAAACATTTTAGCTCTGCATCATAAGTTTCATCAGTGGCTCACTTAAAGTCCTCCCTCCCTTCTCTCTGAACCGAATAGTTTTTACGAGAAGAGTCATTCGCTTTCCTGATCGACATTTCTGAATCTTAAATGTAAATAATAACGTTTTAAGATGCGATGCCAACCAAATTTCTACTGACAAACAACAAGCTCATGTTGCAGAACGAATTCGTAACGTTCGACATGGTTGTTTCGGCCAATTTTCAACAGCATCCTGCCAATTTTTGACTCGAGTCGAAGAAGAATGACAAATTGATAGCAAGCCACAGCAGGGACTCCTTAAACACAGGAAGTTATAGTTTTAATAAAGGAGAATTATTTAAGGTGATCCCTTGAACCTGTGTACGGTAATGATACATCGATGGGTGGTTTTGTTGACAAACGCGAATGCGAGGTGATAATGAGAAACTAGAAACATTTTCAAGGAAAAAAATTGCCGCTAGAAAAAGGTCAAGTTCAGGGTTGACCACGATGAATTAACTTCATTCCCTTGAGCAGAGCCATTAAAGATGTTCTATTCTTCGTTTGACTTCATTTTAACTTGAGGACAAGACATTTCTTGTACCTGCATATAGCGAGTTCAGAAAATGTTTTGTTAATGAAAGGGCACGTGTGTTTTGGTCAAAGTTTGTGTTTCATGACGACACTTAAAGCAAGTAAACAACGCCAACAACACCTAAAATCAGGTCAGAGAAAATTTTATAAGACACATTTCATGTGAATGTTACTAATTGTTACGTAGTGACTATTTTTTATCATCAAGAAATGTTCCCCTTTATAGCTCGTTTTATTGCTTGATCTTCACTAGTTTTCAACTCCAAGCGCAAACTTTAAACAGGTCTTTTACCTGTGTTACTTTGGAGTAGTTTTGGTGAAAGATATAAATGCTGAGTTCATTCCAAAGCCGAACGGCTTTTCATCCTTTGAACAACAGGGCCGGGCTACCGTTATGTAATATATCAAACACGAAAGACCGTGTTTGACCACATCTCCAAACACCGAGAGGAGAGATGAAAATACGACGCGCAGTATTTTTGACGAACTTCGAGGTGTTTGGAAATGTGACCAAACACTGTCTTGAGTGTTGATTTATCTTCTCAATCGAAACCAAAACTAAGGAGAAAACAGAGAAATAAAATCGTAAAAATCTATGCCAATTAAGATCAGATATCCAAACACTGTCACGGTCATGGTTTCCTTTGTTTAAACATGATGAAGTATTAATGAGTTTGAGAAAGAATTTTCTACTGCGTTTGAGTCTTCTCGCAATACATACCTAACTAAGTACTCCACAACGGCGCAACGATGAAGTCAAGACCTATAGATATTCATTCAGTTGTGTTACACGGCATGTACAGGAAGTTGTTTTCAGCTCTATGCATTAAGTTAATTTTCATTTTCTTTCCCTTGTTCCTTAGGCTTAATGCTTATCCAAACTGCATGTCTACTGTGTTCACTGTTCGTATTGGTCTCGCCAGCGCCTTTTGAAAACGAGATTCGTACCACTGAAAATGAAAAAGAAGAAACCCTTCCCCCGATAATGCTTGCAGTGCCAAAGCGTTCAGAAAAAGAATTCCCCGAGAGAGAAGAGAACAGAGTGCGTGATGAAGAAGAAAATCGAGAAGCGGAGGAGAGAGAACTCTCTGAAAAATTTGAGCGTCCGTTTAACGAGGAAAATGCAGAGGAGTTCTTTAGAAGACTAGAAAGGGAGCTTGCTGTGGAATTGGCTGAAAGAGAAAGTCATGGTGAGGAAACCGGGAAGAAAGCAGCGTCCAGTGGCTGGGAGTTAATAGGGAGGGAAGCTCCTGAACAAGATGAAGAAATGTTTGAAGAAAAAGATGCGAGAGAACTCGCGGAGGAAAATGAAATGGACAGGTTTAACAGGGAGCTTGAAAGAGAGACGGTAGAGAAACTGGCCAGGGAAATAACTGAGGAGGAGGAGAAGGAAGAGGAAGAGG